CCCCCCGCCCCCCCCAGGAGCCCAGAGTCTTCACAGAGCATTCCCAGGAGTGTGGCCCAGGGGGCTGTGTTTCGCCCGGAGCTCTGCTTTCAGCACCAGCCCCAGAGCAGACGGGCTCTCATTCCTGCCCTTTCGTGGCACAGTTATGAAGCCCTGGTGGCGTTGTGATGACTTGTCACTGCTCACCACAAGGTCAGCAGTTTGAAACCAGGAGAGCCAGACAAGGCTTTCTACTCGCGTAAAGAGTTACCGCCTCACATCTCCACGAGAGGCACTCTACCCGGTCCGATAGGGGCGCTGGGAGTTGGGGTCCACTCCGTGGTCGTGAGGGAGCAGTACACGAGCACATCTAGAAGCCATGCAGTCTCGGAATGAGACCCCAGCTCTTCTGGTCTGTGACCTGGGACAAGTTGTCGGACTTGTTTCAAATCTGGTTCCTTAATCTGTGACTAGAGGAGTCCTGGTGGGGGAGTGGTTACACATTGCCCTGCAGTCCACATGGCCGGCAGTTCGACACCAGCAGCAGCTCCGAGGGAGACCGACTAGGCTTTCTACACCCGTAAACAGTTAGCGTCTCGGAAGCCCACAGCGTGTCACTGTGAGTCGGCATGGACTCGATGGCAGTGAGGGTGGAGTTTTGGGAACCTGTGAATAATTCGGCTGCTATCCGCAAGGTCAGCCACTTGGAGGGACAGAGATGAGACCTTCTGCTCCGGAAAACACTGACAGCTCCGGAAACGTGCAGGCGCAGCTCACTGCCTTCAGGGTCACCACGAGCCGGGAGAGACTCGAAGGCAGTGGGTAATCTGTGAACTGGGATAAGTGGGAAAAGTGCATGCAAACTACTTGGCATCAGGGAGCCTTTGCCATTTCTTATGCACAGCAGCTCTGCGAGAGGGAGGAAAAGAATGGCCCAGGCACACTGGCCTTCTGGACCCAATACATCAGACTCCTTTAGAAGCCAGGGCGTCTCTCACTGCGTCACCCAGCAATCTGATTACGGTGCAGATTTGGGTCCAGTGGACCCGATGGGGCCCGGGCATCTGCTTTTCTAACAAGACCCCAGGTAATGCTGAAGCCGCTTCTCAAAGGCCACATGGAGAAGACATGGAGGCTGTGGGATCTGCCCGGAAAACGCAGCCACTCTCTTTGCCCTGACTCCACTGTGCGGGCTCCTCCTCGCCTCCTCCAGGGACCCTTGCAATAGTCGACTAGCTGCTCCATACCTGCCATCACTGGTGCCAGGTGAATCTTCCTGACTCGGAGGAGACAAGTGCTCAGGGAGGGCCCCAGCGACTGCAGCTGGTCATGGGGGTTGGAGGAGGAGAGGACAGAGGGGACATACGGAAGCTTCTTTCTTGAATTGGTGGCCTTTTATCTATCAAGACATCTCAACAGGCTGTTTTGGGTGTGGAAACTTGAGCCATCCAGTGCTTGCTTTGAAGGAAAACTTCTGTGCTCTGAAGCTTAGCAAGCAAAGCCAATGTTTCAGACATGACCTCCCTGTGTGAGAGGCCATCATGTCAACCCTGACGCACAGTGGTCCCATGTGTGTTCCAGTAGAACTGAGCTCCTTAGGGATTTTCACGGCCAATCACCAGACTGCCAGACCTTTCTTCCCCGGTTCCTCTGGATGAACTCAAACCTCAAACAGCCTGTCATTAGTAGCTGAGTGCTTTAACTGTGCACCATCCACAGGTGGCTACTGCTGGGCTTCAGTCGCAGCAGGTACCTGAGATCCCCAGCTGTCCATCAGCCTCGGTGGGATGAAGGGCCCGGAGCACCTGTCCTGCTCTGCCCCATTGACTGGGGAGGAGGAGGGAAGTGTTTTAGGAACAGGGGTCAGAGGGAACTTTAGACAGATGGATTCTGCTTTAAAGAGCTCACAGCCACCTCCAGAATGTCCCTGGAGAGAGTCTGGAGATGGAAAAGAGCCAGGCAGGCAGATGGATGTGGAACAATAGAGCTGACGTCTCAGCTGGCCATCAGCTGAGTGGCCCCCAGCAGTGCCGGGTCTCCGCGTGGGTCCTTCCCGTGGGCTGAGACAATTCTCTGATCGTACAGAGCTAGCTTTGCATAGGTCTCTCCTGGAAAAAATTGTACCTGCTAATGTTACAGCAGGCAAGGGTGACTTCTCTTCCAAAAGGGTTGTAAGGAAGGTGTGGGGCGAAGAGGAAGGGGAGGGAGGGTGGGAGCAGCACAGTGGGAGGAGAGGGGCAAATGGCAGCAGGGGGTGAGACCAGAGGCGTGGCCTCTCCTGCCCGGCTGACTGAAGCAGAGACTGAGAGCCTCTTCAAGGAAGTTAGGGCTTGACCCCAGGGGTGCCCGAGTGGGTTACTAAGCTTATGATGAGCTCCGTGGATTCTGAGAGCTGGGGAGAGGGTGCGGGCTAGTGTTAGGGGCTTGGAGAGAGGAAGGCTGGGGAGATGGGGAAGATCCAAAGTGGTTGTGAAAGTGCCTTGTGGTCCAGACACCTATAGGGCTGCTCTGTGTTGGTGTCAAATGCACAGCACACACCGGCGGTGCTTCAGGGGAGAATGCTCACCAGCTTGCCTGACCCCTGTTTAATCGGCCATGCAACAAGCTTTGGTGTAGCTTCCAGACTAAGACTAAGATGGTCTTGGAAGAAAAATCTGGTGGTCTACTTGCCAAATTAGCCAGTGAAAATCCCTCTGAGCCGCAATTGTCTGATCCAGAACCAATCGTGGAGATGGTGTAGGACTGGGCCAGACCCTCTTGTGCACGGGGCTACCCGTGCACAATCAAAGCACAAGCTCTCTAAACACAGAGAAGACCATGAAGCCCATCTGGTCCCGTTATTGACCGTCAACTCGCTCTGGCACACATAAAAGAGCCAGGGAATTTCTTTCACAAAGGGCTGGGGTATAATTCAACCTTGGCCCGGTTCAATGTCAAGAAATATAAACTTGAAGTTGATGCAGTTTTGCTGTGCCAACAGAAAGAGGTGCTGTGTACCAAAAGATGATGGGCTGATGTTAAGATCACTGAGATGGGTCCAGAACACGCGTTTCCAGCTGATGAATGAAAAACTGCAGATGGCAATTGTTGCACACAAACTACATTCCAGTGACACTGGGTGGCTGTGAGGCATTATCTACTTCTCTGTCATCTTCCATAGAAAGATGAGTGCTGTGCATCTACCTGCTCTGTTAGCTAAACACAGATTGGCATTTCCAGCTGTAGTGACACTTGTGGGTTGTATCTTAGCCACGAATATGCACTTGATTAAAGGAGAGGTCGCCTCCTGCCTGTCTATAGTGTGTGGGGCTCCGTTCCTAAACTGTAGGTGTAAGATCAGGAAAATACTTTCAAATATTTGAGAACTAGGTATGGGTCTGTGACCCAGTCTCACACCTGGGGCGGTTCTGGGGAATCATCAACCAAACCAAACACAACACAAAAACACTTTCACACTCTTCTTTTGAGTATGTATTAATTACTTCCAGAAAGTAAAGGAAGCGATTTATAATGAAAAACACTGGGGCACAGATAATCAATGTAATTATTGTAAATAAATTATACACCTGTAAAAAAAAACCTGTCAACATTTGTGTGGTAGATGTGTTTATAACAACAACAACAAAAGCAGCTAGTAGCCACTGAGGCTGAGGCCGCTCACGTCCGACCACACATCTCATGGGATTCGGCTCCTGGTTTGGAGTTTAGGACCAAGGTTTGATGGGATGTTCCAGTTAACTGGACTAACACTGTCTTTTGTGCTTCTGTCCTACCTCATAGCTCATTGTGTAGAGCTTGAAAGGCTTGCAAGTGGCTATCCAAGCCACAGGGATTGATCTGTGTCTGCCGGGAGCAGGAGAGGGGGGCGGGGAAGAGGAGAGTCCGGAGCAGGAGACTCTGGCTCGTGGGGCAAATTGCCCACTTTGCCACCAAGCCGGAAGAACCGGGTGTGCCAGCGCTCATGACTGAACATCTCCATAAAAGGATCTCTGGAAGACAACTGATCAAAAGCAAGGACATGCAGAGCAGAATTTAAAACTCTCAAGGGGCCCATGGAGTTTGGGGAGCCAGGAAACCTCGAGGAGCCTCTGAAACATTGCGCTGAGTCAGTCTCTACACCAGAAACTGAAAATACCCCCAATCATAGTTGAGTTTCACTAGTAAAGAATGTCTGCCGTGAGAACAGGACCCTTTTACGACCTATCTACGTGGGATCAGACTGACAACGGCAACTCCAAAGATGAGCTAGAGACCTGGGACACAGTGAGTTTATGTCCAGGGGGAGGAAACACTCAGAAAAAGAGGGTACAAAAGGCTGCTGAACTCATAGAACGTAATAAAGGTCACTGCATTGTTTCCAGGAGCTCAGCCACTCTTATAAAACCACTTGCTTTGTCGCTCCAAATCCTCTGTCTTTACCTGGGATCCCCCTTAGTCATTGGCTTGAGCTGTGACCAGCACATGGAGGCTCAGAAGAGCTGACAGAAGATGATAGTGCAGCAGTTCTCAACCTGTGGGTCGTGACCCCTTTGGGGGTTGAACGACCCTTTCACAGGGGTCTCCCGATACATAACAGTAGCAAAATGACAGTGATGAAGTAGCAACGAAAATAATGTGATGGTTGGGGGTCACCACCACATGAGGAGCTGTATGAAAGGGTCGCAGCCTTAGGGAGCTTGAGAGCCACTGCAGTACTGGGTCAGGAGAGTCCAAAGTCGCTGGAGACTGGGGCAGAGGCTTGAAGGACATGCAGTATGGGATCCCATTCTGGAGCGCTTCAGAGAGGAAAGCGACAGATTCGATTCGATCCTTACGCTCATGCAGCAATGGGATACCAGCTACAGCAACTGTGACAGGCTTGGACTCAGACCACCAGGGAATCTATTCTGTAGGGAGCCAGGGCGTGGAATACAGCTTGGGTTAAAGGTGCAGGGCCATTGGATGGGCTCCTTTCTCATCTGGGCTTTCCACCTAGTTTTGGTCTCTCTCTTATCGCAGATCTCTTACACAGGTTCTCTGAGATCACACACACGCACACGCACACCCCACCCCCAACCCACTGCTATCGAGTCAATGCTGACTCATGGTAAGCTATACCGTTTTGGAGACTGTAAATCATTGCAGGCACATGTAGCCGTATCTTTCTCCAGCTGAGCGGCTGGTGGATTTGAACCACCTTGAGGTTAGCAATCCAACGCCTCACCCATAGCTCTTCAGGTTCTTTGAAAGGGTGCTGTTCTCAGGAGGAGACCAGTCAGTCAGGGTGCAGTGTAGCAACAATGAAACATACAACTTTTCTCGAGCTCCTAAATGCTTCCTTCCCACCTACTGTCACGATCCCAATTCTACCTTACAAATCCGGCTAGACCAGAGGATGTACACTGGAACAGATAGGAACTGGAAACAGGGAATCCAGGGCGGATGATCCCTTCAGGACCAGTGGTGTGAGTGGTGATACCAGAAGGGTGGAGGGAGGGTGGGGTGGAAAGGGGGAATGGATTACAGGGATCTACATATAACCTCCTCCCTGGGGGACAGACAACAGAAAAGTGGGTGAAGGGAGACGTCGGACAGTCTAAGATTTGACAAAATAATGATTTATAAATTATCAAGGGTTCATGAAGGAGGGGGAGTGGTGAGGGAGGGGGAACAATGAGGAGCTGATGTGAGGGGCTTACGTGGAGAGCAAATGTTTTGAGAATGATGAGGGTAACGAATGTACAAATGTGCTTTATACAACTGATGTATGTATGGATTTTGATAAGAGTTGTATGAGACCCCAATAAAATGATTAAACAAACAAAAACAAAACCAGAAAGGGTGTTGTTCTCTCTTGCATCAGGACCTTCCTTGTCCCTGGAATATAAACTAGCCCAACAACTTTCACCTGGCTGATGCCTGTTTTTCGTTTTTTTTTGCCCTTGGAGAGAATTCGTGAGACTTCACACTGGGTCCGTCTGCATATTATAGTTTCCCATTGGAGGCATGCACTTCCATGGTCATTATTTTTGTGGTCTAGCAGCCTATGTGTCTATAGTACCATGTTTCCTGCCTTCTCCACCTATGTGCTTTGGTTACAGTTGACCCATGCCTAGATGTTAAGAACAGAACATTTGACCTAGCCCATCAGTATAATTCATTCCTCGTGGTGTGGATAACTGGCTCAGCAATGGGCTCCTGGTCCATCAGGGTCAAGGACACTCAATCCCTGGAGTTTGGTTGGAGTTTCCGGGATCTCTGATTTACTCTTTTAATCCTCCCAGGTGGTGATGAAATGAGCCGGAAGCTCCTGGGGGCCACCTTGAGGAGGCTCAGGATGTTGAATCAACTGTCTAGAGATGGATCTGGTGACACTTTTTAATCTCTGAATCAGATTGTAAGTGAAGCTAAATCTGTATCTGCATATTTCAGTTACAGGAGCCAATCAATTCCCATTTTCTTTTTTTAAAAGGTATTTTATTATTAAAACTTTTATTTCAAACCATTTTATTAGGACCTAATCCAGACATCATACCATTCTATAGTTCTATCACATGGAGTAGCATTGTAAAATCAATCAATTTCAAAACATTTTCTTCCTTCTTGTACTCCTTGATAGCAGCTCCCTCTTACCCTCTCCACCTCCCTTGCTGTACCCCTGCCCCCGTCCCCCCCCAACCTTTATTCTACTGATTGTATAGATTCGCCCTTCCTGGCTTTCATATTACCTGAAAACAGAAAAATACATAACAGAGAGTGAGGAAGGCCACCAAAATAAAACGATACTATACAATAGAGATAAGCCCCAATATGAAAGAAGACCCCCCACAGAAAATACACGAAACCAGATCAGGCACAAAGTGTATCAAAAGGGAGATCAGATGACAAGTTTTGACCATTCAAGTCAGGTCTAGCATTTCAGTCTACTCCCGTCCGCCCCCCACTCTGTCTGATCCCTGGGTCCTTCTCATGCCTCAGTATGGTGAGAGGAAAAATCACTGCAGGCTTATTCCCCGGGTAGATCCCGCAAATGTATTTTGGGCTTCCACACCAGAATCTCACAATTTAAGCTCTGATACTATTCCCTGCTTCGGATCTGGACTATATCATTAACAACCTTTGCAGCATGGATCTTGGTGTGCTTCTTCCATATGGGCTTAGTTGACGCCTCACTTAGATGACTGCTTGTTTGAAAATAAGCCTTTAAGACCCCAGACGCTATTCTTTCTGAGAGCTGGTCACCATCTAGTTTCACCACTACACCTTGCTACAGCACCCATGTTTTCTGTGTTTCCTTCATGAGGGTGAGTATCAAGCAGGGCCATGTCCTAAGAACTAACTGTTCTTAGATTGGAGCTAGGCTTCAGTGTGAGCCCACAGTCCATTCCTGGATCTATGTTTTCTGTCTGCCTCTGCTTCACCTTCGAGACATCTTAGTTATTTTATGGTAGAGAATCTTATTGATCATCTCCTTGGAGCATAAGGACCCTCTGGGCACAGTGTCACTGACTGAGCCCATGGTAGTAATTTTAAAACACTACTGAGAAAGGGAGGAGCCTTGGTGGTGTAGTGGGGACAAGTTGGACTGCATTCTGCATGCTCAGAGGTTCGAAACCACCAGCAGCTCTTGGGGTGAATGACTGAGCTGTCTACTCCTGTAAACAGTGACAGTCTGGGAAACCGACAGGGGTCGTTGTCAGTCAGCATCGACTCGATGGCCGTGAGTTTTATTGAGAACGGGAGATTGAAAAAGTGTAGGGTTAAGTACAAATAGAAAAACATGGAGTCTTGATTTCTACAGAATTAATCCTTACATGACTGGACACTATTTACACAAACAATGGGAGTTGGTCAGGCAAAACTTATAATACTATTCACTGACAATGTCAGGCACACAATAATACCTATAAGGCAAACAGGGCTTTGAAGTAGTAAGCAAGATGTTAGTCTGCCTACCGACAGCTAAAACTCTTGGGATAGCTCTCTTCTGCTTCTTCACACACCATGTAGTTTCGGTCTTAAGTTCCAGGTAGAGCCTAGTTCACCCAGTGGGGTTTCCACATTGCCTCCCTCTGGCCTTTGGAGTGTGTTGTGCACCTTGAAGAGCCAGGGTTCAGTGTCCTAGTGTTCTATGGCATGTGGCCTGGGTCCCCCAGACAGGTACAGAGACTTGGACCAATGTGGCCTATTCGGAGCAGTGACAGGCACTCCCCCTTAGGATCCTTAAAAGTGTTGTTAGACTTTCCCTCACCCCACCCCCAAGGAAGTCGGTCCCCCCTTTTTGTACCAACAGGCATGTACTGTCTTTTCCAAGACGCGTATGCCTCCCCCCCACCCATGACTTGATTTTCCCATCGGCCCCTCATCGCTCTGGTACGAATGAATGTCTGCTGCTCTGGGTGCACCTTGGCATGCCATTCCCTCACCCCCTCGAAATTCTGATCCCAGCTGATGTGAGGACCCCTCCGCCAAAGTGACCTTCAAGATGCACACAGAGAGAGGAGGGTGCATGGGCCACGGGCACCAGCCAGGCTCTCTACCGCACTGTTTGGCCGACTGGGCATCCTGAAAGTCTGAGCCATCCTGGTGTTCATCCCTACAGCAGTTCAGTTGCCATTTTCAGCACAGACCTATTTGAATGAGCTGTGCTGCCACTTGCAATGGAAAGAATCTAACTGACAGCCTTGGTCCTGGTGATCTGTACCCAGGGCTGAACTCAGTGACAGCCACATGGGCATGTTTACCAAACAGCCAGCGAATGAAGGGAGGGGTCTCAGCGTAACAGAGCTTCTTCCACCCCACCTCTTTCTCTTCCAGACCTGGAAACGAGGCAAGAGGCTGTGATCCTGTGGGGATTATGATTTCACCACATCTTGGAACCACTTTTCTTCAGAACAAGAAACTGCAATACAAAGGGATCCTTGTATTGACCAAAGGGGTGCTGGGAAGTACCTGCTGCTCGGCAAGATTTTCTGAGTGCCCTGAAGTTCTCCTGTCAGTAAGGTTCCTTTGTCTGAGAATTCTTACGAATCCTCTGTAAATGTAGACCTGTATTACTTATACATTTCGGTGCTTCCCAAAGTGGGGGATACCACCCCGTGGGGGGTGGGCTCTGGAATGATGGAGGGGAGGTGCTGAAAAAACAATGCTTGCACGTTATCCTGGATTACGGGCTTCAGTACAAACCTTTTAATTGCTGGGGGGGCGCTGAGTAATTTTTTGTTCTGAAAAGGGGGCGATAGGCCACCTAAGGTTGGGAACCTCTGATTATGACTGTACAGAAACTCGGAAGAAATGAACAGAAATGATGACTGGCTGAGAGGTGGGTGGGAACCTGATTAATGAAGGCATGGGAATGACACTTTGCATGGTCATTTTGATACCGAGTTTTGAGTCATCTGAATGTCTTGGCTGTTCAAAAACTAAATAAAAAATGAATGCCCTCTCTGCCTGTGTGCAGAAGCCCACGGAGACGTTATCTGCTCTTCACAACTCCGGGAGAGGCCTTTCACTTACCAGCTGCCTTTCAAACGGGGACTGGGCGCAGGGTGGCCCTGGTCGAGGAGGCAGAAGTGGCTCCTCTTGGCTGGGGGAGGGAAGCACCAAGGGGGGTGCAAAGCCAGGGGGCTGGTGCCTGGAGAGGTCTGGCTGGGGCAAGGGGCCTCACCAAAGAAGCTGAGGGCGGAGGGGCTGTAGGCAGGCCAAAAGGGGGCAGTGGGGGTGGGCGCACTCAGGATACTCTTCCCCAGGGGCCCATCTGCTCCCGGCTGCACTTGATGATTTCCAAGATGCCTCCTATCTCAGTGAAGTCTGATGACCAGTTCTCTGTGCTTGGGGCTCCTCCTTTCAGGCTCCCAGCCTGCCGACTCATTTGTCAAACCAAACAGCTGCCCTAAAGATCTCGGACATCCCTTCCAGTTCTGACCCTCCGCTTCTAACCAGATCCCTTCCTGGTCCCAAAGCCCCACTTTGTGCAGAAGATATACAGGCTTCATCTAGAAAAACAAAATCTACCCTCGTGATACCCCGAACGGCAACACTGAAGAGCCTTCGGCGTCAAAGCATCATCTATCAGGAGCGTTGGCAGTTCCTTCCTGTGCTTGAAGGTCGCTCAGGGAGGTTAAGAATTAACTGCTGCAGGCTCACTCCGTGCCCTGGGAGGCCCCCTTCCAGGCTCGCGAATGCCCTCCTGATGCAGTCTGCTTTCTCACTACCCAGGGGACTTTGGCCGAATTGAACCCCTGGGGTGCTGCAGTGACTTTTTACCCTTTCAACCCTGAGACTCAGAGGGAAGACCCCCACCACTGGAAGGCAGTCAGTCTGAGGTCTGAAGCAGCAAAGGGGGGGTGGTAGCATTGGGGAAAGACGGGGAGAACAGAGTTCTAGGGGTGCATGTGGGCACAGTGGACCCACAGACATAGGGGCTGGGGCGGGGGAGAGGAGGAGGGGGATGGAGAAGAGATAGGCAGCCTGTTGGAACATTCACCACTGACTGACCTTGTTATCATAGCAAAAAGGTAATAACTACAGGCGCCGAGATAGACTGGCAGGGCTGTAAAGTACCTAATGCAGCGCTGAAAACTGCCACTTAAAACTGGCACCCGGCCCTACTGTTAGGTCAAGAGTTGTGGGAGCCACTTACAGTAGAAGAGCAGGTGTGGTGTTGGCCAACCTGCAATGTAGACCCACGGAACCCATTGCCTTCAATGCCCTGTTCAAAACAAAACAAAACAAAGCACACACTCATGAATCCAGATACACACACTTATGTACAATGTATGTAATTTATAGATGATATATTACATACATATGTCTGGAACCCTGGCGGTGTAATGGGTTATGCATTGGGTTGCTCACCTCGAGGTCAGCTGTTTGAACCCATCAGCCACATCTTGGGAGGAAGATGGAACTTTTCATGCCTGTGAACAGTGACAGTCTCCGAAACCCACAGGGGCAGTTCTACCCTGGCCTATAGGGTCCCTGTGAGTCAGAATCGACTTAATGGCAGTGTCTTTTAAAATATATGTGTGTGTGTGCATGTATGCTGTGCAATTCTATAATTATCTTCCACGATATATTTCTATATTAAAATATTATTTTTATAACATAATTTTAAATAATATTAGGGATTTCTGGAAATTTGTTTTGAGATTTCATTTGTTAAAAACTGAACCTGCAAAGCATAATTAAAAAACAAAAGCCGGAACCTGCTACAATAAATGAGATGAGGTTTGGCTGGCCCCAGAGAGCCCTCTTCTGAGGGTGGCGGGTTCATGGGTATCCAGGGAGTTGGAAGAGCAGCTGAGGGGTCACCTCAATGATTGAGTAAAGTACTGCTGGGGTCAGGAGTCTTCAGGGGCTTCTGCACTGGGGGGTCCGTGCCCTGCCACCAGGTCACTGGGGTTGGATCCCCTGGACTCTTTACCGAGAGGGTTACGATTTCCACACCTATTTCTTTCTGGAATTCGTCTTTGATTGGCTTCTCTTTGTATTTCTCAAAGATTTTTCATGTCCCTCTTTCTTTGTGAGCCCCTCCCCTGCTCCACGGGAATCTAATAACAAACCCACATTCTCACTCCCTCCCCAGCCCACAGTCCCCTTCTTCCACGAAGTCTTTGCCAAGAAATCTGTGTTGATCGCCAGGTTGTGATTGACGAGCAAAGGGAGTGGAGCTGAAACGACAACGATGGCACCGAGAGATGTGGAGAGAGCCAGAGTACTGACCACATACATCTTCTTAAGTGTCCATTCTGCGATCTTCAAAGCTTCTGAGCCAATAGGACCTAATGTTTTAGATTTCCACTAAGTGACATACTGCGTACTTCCAGGTTGAGCTACACTATATCAAAAAGAAGGATGCCTAGTGGCGCTGTTGGGTAAGTGTTTGACCGTTAACCAAAAGCTCAGTTTGAGGGTTTGAGACAAAAGTTCAAACTCACTAGCTGCTCTTTGGGACAAAGAGGAGGCTGTCTACTCCTGGAAAGATTTACAGTCTTGGAGATCACATTCAGGGTCACTATGCATCGGAATCACCTAAAGGGCAGTGGGTTTGTTCTTTTTGTTGTTGTTTTATATCAAAAGGAGAGACCGGTCACTGGAGAGAGATTGCATACATGGTGTGACAGTTGTTAGGTGCCACTGATTGGTTCTGACTCCTAGTGAGCCCGCGCATCACAGAGCAAAACACTGTCTGGTATGGCCCTCCTTGTTACTCACCACAATGAAGCCCTCACTGTCGACATGGGTGCTACAGAAAAGTGTGGTAAGAAACCAGATCGTGCCCAGTTATCAGAAAGATGAGTGCCGAGGGGTCTAAAAGACGTGTCTTAAAACAAGTAGCCTGGGAGCAAAGCAATGAAGTCCCTAGGGATACCAAAAATAGGCTTTGGGGCCAGGGTGTGGCACCCCACCAGACTCAACTGGAAAACACTCCTAAAGGTCAACAAACAGACCTTGAACTATTTATGAGCTTTTCTTTTTGTTGTTGTTGTTGTTTTGCTTCTTTGCTTTCTTTTGTTGTTTTGCTCTGGCTTGTTTTTATGCTTATTATGGTTTCTGCAGGTCTGTCTAAATAAGATAGGCAGGATAAACAATCGAGAGGAGAAAACAATGGCACTGACCAATGGTTGGGGTTAGGGGACACAGGACGGGGAAGCAGGGGAAAAGGAAGTGGGTGTTAACCAACCCAGAGACAAGGGAACAACAAGTCATCTAAAATTGATGGCAAGGAGGTTGTATGAGACCTGGTAGGGCTTGTACAAGGGCAATTTAACTTAGAGGAATTACTGAAACCCGAATGAAGGCTGAACATGAAAATGGGACAAGAGGAAAGTAAAAGGAAATAGAGGAAAGAATTAGGAGGCAAAGGACGTTTATAGAGGTCTAAATACAGGCATGTACATATACAAATATGTTTATATATAATGATAAGGAAATAGATCTAGGTACATATATTTATATGTTAAGTATCAAGGTAGAAGATGGACAATGGGCCTCTGCTCCCAATGCAATACTCCCTCAATGCAAGAACACTTTGTTCTAATAACCTGGCTTTCCATGATGCTCACCTTCCCACCATGATTGCTGAAGACAAAGCAGGTGCAAAAGCAAATGTGGTGAAGAAAGCTTATGGTACCGGCTATCAAAAGATATAGCGTCTGAGGTCTTAAAGGCTTGATGATAAACAAATAGCCATCTAGCTGAGAAGCAATAAAGTCCACAGGGAAGAAGTGCACCAGCCTGTGTGATCATGAGGTGTCGATGGGATCCGGTATCAGGCATCAAAGACCCGGAACAAAACATCCTATCAATGTGTAGGAGGGGGAGTGCAGAGTGGGAACCCAAAGCCCATCTGTAGGCAACTGTACATCCCCTTAAAGAAGGGTCTCAGGGAGGAGACAAGCCAGTCAGGGTGCAGTGTAGCAACGATGAAACATACAACTTTCCTCTAGTTCTTTAATGCTTCCTCCCCTCCACTATCATGACCTCAGTTCTACCTTCCAAATCTGGCTAAACCAGAGCATGTACAGTGATACAGATAAGAGCTGGAAACACAGGGGATCCAGGACAGATAAACTCCTCAGGACCAATAAGGAGAGTAGTGATACCAGGAGGGGAAGGGAAAGGTGTGGGGAGGAAGGGGGAACCCATCACAATGATCTACATATAACCCCCTCCTAGGGGCATGTACAGCAGAAAAGTGGGTGAAGGGAGACATCAGTCAGTGTAAGACATGAAAAAAAATTATAAATTATAAAGGATTCATGAGAGAGGGAGGGTGAGGGAGGGAGGGAGGGAAAAAAATGAGGACCTGATACCAAGGGTGCAAATAGAAAAGAAATGTTTTGAAAATGATGATGGCAACATATGTACAAATGTGTTTGATACCACGGATGTATGTATGGATTGTGATAAGAGCTGTAAGAGCCCCCAATAAAATCATTAAAAACAAAACAAAAAAGAAGCAGCCATCTGAGTGAGGTGTCAACTAAGACCACCTAGAAGTACACTAGCCGGTACCCAAGGATTGCAAACAATAAAATCCAAATCTGAAGGAGGGAATGGTAGCAGAGCTTAAATTGTGAACACCTGGTTTACAGAAGGCTAAGGATGGGCGTGGAAGGCGAACATTCACTTGCAGGGTGTCCCAGTCTCTGGTGAGTTTCCTCTGACCACAGTCCAGGAATGTGAGTAGACTTGTTGTAAGACAGAGAGCATTGGAAAGGTGATTATGGAAGATGTGGTTAGGTTAAAATGTGACAATTTTATCGTTTGAACTCCCTCACGACCCATCGTGAACTTGTTGACGTTTCAAGCAGACAATATCAGCTTTCGTTTTGATTGAGGTTTCCCTCTGTTTTGTTACTTGTTTTTTTCTCTTTGTTTGCTTCCTGTTTGTGTTTTATATAATTTTCTGTGTATGAAATCCAAGATGGGCAAATTTACAC